GAGGGAGCTGACCAGGCCCTGCCTCCCCTGGGCTGGCAGGGATGCCATGGCTCCTTTTCTGTGCCTACAGGGTCTATTCTTCAGTTGATGATCCACAAGCCTTTGCTGGCCAGGAACTGCAGTCACCACCCAGAGGCTGAGCCCCTGTTCCAGAGCCCACTTTGAATCACTAGCAAGGCGAATGGAAGAGGTAGCTGGATTGGCCTTAAAAGGGGACATGGCAGCCTCTGGGCATCCTTCTGTGGCGCCCTGGGCTGCCCACCATGAGGAGGGTCAATGCCCTCAAGGGCTTCCTGGCATCCTTCCCAGTGAGGCCTGACTCTTGGCTGTAGACCTTCAAGGAGCCCAGGACCAGGCTGGCTACAGACTTCAGAGGAGTGGTCCTGGCCCACTTGGTGGGCAGCCAGAAAGACAACAGCAGGCTGGAGTCAGGGCCCTGGGCAGGGGTTTTTGAGCCTCTCCGTGCTCCTGGCCTGTGGTGCCATGGAGGCGTGTGAATTTGGATGAGCCAGGTCCCCTAGAGACTTGAGGTGGGGCCGTCAGACTCAGGGACTAACTCCCTCCCTTGGCTCTGAGTCTCCTCCCTACCAGAACCCAGGCCTGGGAGCACAGACGCTTGCTTGGAGGTAACATCAGCTCCAGAGCTGGCCAGAGCTCCCGGCATAGCAGGGCTTCTCCCTTACCTCAGGACCAGAATCTCAGAGAGGCAGGGATGTTGGTGGTGTGGGTCAGCAGACGTTCCAGAGGGCCCAGGGAAGGGGTCAGCTTCCAGGAAGTGGAGGAGGCAGCCTCGTCCAGCCTTTGCCATTCTCTGGGCTTTGGATCTACCTCAGGAGAGGCTGGCGAAGCCCGTGCAATCCCTGGGCTGAACAGAAAGGCTCAGAAAGCAATTTCACTTGGGAGAGAGCGGGAGGGGCGCAGGGACTGGAGAGCGCTCAGCCCACTCTCTTCTCTCTAGAAACAGGGATCTGAAATTGACTCAAGGTGGTGTTGAAGGGGGGCCGGGGGGTGTCGGGGCTGCAGTTGGCTGGCAAGGGTGACAGAGGGAAGAGAGGGTGGGCTTCTGGCCTGAGTCCCCTCACCTCCACGGCTTTGTGTCAGGTTCCAGGTGTGGCTGGACTGATCAGCGGGTGGCAGTGCGGCTCAGAGGTAGCTCCCTGTGCTGGGAGCCCAGGGTCCTGCTGCTTAAGCCTCTCAGCATATGGGGGCAGGATTGCCAGGAGG